CTGACTGAAAGCTAATGACAGAGTGAAAGCTAATGAGTCGTTAGCATTCATTCAGTTGTTAGCTTTTATTCTGCCATTACCTTCCACTTGGCTGCTAGCGTTTCACCATTGTCTTTTGCTCAGTCATTAGCTTTCATTAGGCCTTAGCTTTCATTAGGCCTTAGCTTTCATTAGGCCTTAGCCTTCGTTAGGCCTTAGCTTTCTTTAGGCCTTAGCTTTTGTTAGGCCTTAGCTTTCATTAGGCCTTAGCCTTCGTTAGGCCTTAGCTTTCGTTAGGCCTTAGCTTTCATTAGGCCTTAGCCTTCGTAAGGCCTTAGCTTTCATTAGGCCTTAGCCTTCGTTAGGCCTTAGCTTTCGTTAGGCCTTAGCTTTTGTTAGGCCTTAGCTTTCGCTCAACCACTTTTGTGGTTGTTAGTTTTGTTTCATCGTTAACCTTTGCTCAGTTTGTTAGCTTGTGCTCGTTTGTTAGCTTGTGCTCGTTTGTTAGCTTGTGCTCGTTCGTTAGCTTGTGCTCGTTTGTTAGCTTGTGCTCGTTCGTTAGCATTCTTGGCTTAATTTTTTTTTCACCTTCATTTAGTCATAGAGTGTCCAAGCTTCACCCACGATTCGGGCGGCCCGGTTTACATCGAAAGGGAGAATTCTGATAAAAGGCATCAATCAAATCGTGGACGCTGGACAGTTATTCACAGGACACACTGAGTACATTGCCTACGAGAGCCCCTTTAAGAGTGAAGAGTAGTTTCTGCCTTTAAACTCTTATTCTCCAGGGTTTATTTTGGTTTGTCCATCTGAATTTGCATGATCAAATCATAAGGCAAATTATTCAGTAACTGCATGAAATAAATGTAAATTTTTATTTTATTTATTTATTTTTATTATTTACTTATTTGTAAAAGCTCCCCTCAAATGAACAGAACATGTGTTTTATGATCACACGCATTACTATATGCTTACAATTTACTGCTGAAAGCCAAAAATCTGAGACACTCTTTGTATTATTTTATAAAAATGATTTTTACAGAGCAGATCACTGAAGAGACGCCATCTGTTTATAGTTTATAGCCCAGATTTGTGAAAAATGGGTCGACTTTCAGTAGAAAAAGAAAGAGTTCAGCTTCTTTTATTATAAGGGTTTAAAATTACATCACCATCTATTTGACTGAAGACAGTTACAGCTCTCATACGACCCCCACCTTTAGAATGTAGCTTATGAAATATGAAAGTTATGAAGAATATGATGAAGAGCGTTTTGGAACCACCGGTGGTCTGAAGGAGCTTAAGAGGCTACAATTCATTAATATTTGTTTATTTCTTTTAAATTTCCACTTTAAACCAGTTCAGTGTTTTGCTCCTATCTTATTGATCTTAACTGTGAGTCACTTTGAACAGCAGTGTTTGCACAGAAAATGCTACATCGGCATTAATTTAACGTTCCATTTTTCTGCTCCGCGGAGGAGGCGGCGAGGTGCGCTTGGCCGGGTTTCTCTCTTTTTCAGTTGGATATGTTGCGTAAGCTGGAATGCAGTGGGAGGCGGCTGGAATAGCGGAGCTTTGGGAGAGTTTTGGGCTGTTTGGAGGCAGAGGGTGAGCTCAGGACAGACGGAGAGACGCTCCAGACCACAGGAACCATCTCCAAACTTTATATCATCTGTACACGCAGGTCTAATTCCAGACCCTTTCGCTGCTGCTGCAGCGCTGTGAAAGTGCTGATGGTGGGTTTTAGTTAAAGAAACTTTCTTCTGAAAGCAAATGTTGGCTTTGCCCTCAGAAGCAGCTCCTGAGTGGCGCAAGCGCTGGCGCTGCCGTCGGGAGATCAGGGAGTTTGAACCCTGATGGTGCCACAGCCACCCGTGGCCTGGAGAACATCTGCGTTTGTCAGTTCCAGCCGGCCCGGATCATCAGGTTATCGGGCCCCTGGGCACAGATGTTTGGCGGGGCACTATCTGGCTGCCTTTTATAGGTGGTCAGTGATCTTTTACGATATCACAGCCAGTTACATGAGGCCTGTGCAGCAGTGCTGGACAGGTGACCGTTACAGGCGTGTGCTTTTTCCAATCCAGAAATATCACAGCAGGATTACACACACATTAACGAGAGCACAGGTTAAAATAAACCCAACAAGCAATGCAGCACTTCAGCAAACTTAAGCATCGTCAAGCAACGTCCAGCATCCTAGCTAAAGCGTTCTGCCACACAGCATGGAAGCATTCTTAATATCTTAATATCTAAACCTCAGTTGCACAGTTTGCAGATCACTAGCCATGTTAACATGTTTTACCTAATAATCCATTAATAATCCGATTAATATCTCAATCAGAATAGAACACGTCCATGTAAACACCTCTGTCTGAATAGTCTAGTCTGATTGAGGCCATTCAGAATACAATCTCTATCCGACTGATCGAGGTGGGTAATCCTGTAAATAATCCGTTAAATAGAAGAATAATATCCGTGTAAACGCCTGTATCTGATTACATTCCCTATCGGAAAGTTTAAGTCCGTTCTGATCATGTTCGTCGCGTCATAGTGAAAGTTTATACCGTTCAACATGGCGGAGCAGAAACTGGTCTGCAGAGGAGACGAAGTTTATGCTCTGATCTTTAAAAGACGGCAGTGGGACGGACGTCCATCTTATGTGTCTCAGAACACGACGTCTTCCTCTCGGCCTTCTTTAATAAGGACATGTGAAGGACGTTTTCCTGAGTCTGACATCATTTTAAAGTGATTAAAAACACAAGCGCTGCTCACTGCTGCTCATCTCACTCTGACTGGACTCACGTGATGCTGGTTGTCATGGTAACGTCTACACTAAATGGTTCTCTACGCGTAATTGTGAAATTGTGGATTGAGATTTTCATCAGAGTGAGAATAAACACCTCAGTCTGAATCTGTAATCAGAATATGTTCAGTCTGATTGGAGAAATCTGTCTATCTATCTATCTATCTATCTGTCTATCTATCTATCTTCTGTGTACATCTTTCTCTCAGAATTGTCAGAGTCTTAGTTCATCTGATAACAGAGTTATTGGGGACAAATATTCTGTTTTGTTATGATAGTCAACAATATCAGCATCAGTTTCCATTCCACCTGTGGAACGGCCACTAGGGAGCGCTGCAGAGGTTAGTTTTAACATTCCAGGTAAATCCATTCACCATGTAATATGTACACAACGTAAAGAGCAGCTGATATTCACGGTGCAGAAGAATAAACAAACGACAAAAACACGAAAGACACAGCGCGGCGGTGTGAAGTCCTCGCGCCTCCTGCTCTGCACTGCGGCTCATTTCTCTCGCTCGGTGTTAGATTAGGTTTAGATTTACACTCAGAGGTGCCATTTTTTCACGACACCATATAAACCCCTGATCCCGGCGCTCCATATGATCCGCAGCTGAGTGCCGGAGCTGCTGATTTATCCTGCAGCAGGAGGGAAATCAATGGCAGCTCGCGGCCTTATTTATGACCGTGCTAGAGCGGCACGAAGGGGGTAGGCTTTACGCTGAGCCGCAGCAGAGAAACGGAGAACGAGAACGCGGCTGGAACATTCAGCTGTTTAACTGTGGACGTCTTCCAAAGGGATCCAGGCTGAATAAATAAAGCAGAATCAATGCTGCTCTCATACTTAAAGCCATATTTTTGCAAAAATAAATTGAGAATTGATCACAGTCCCACCCAATCTTAGAGGGAAAGACTGTTTAATTATTTTTACAAGATTTTTTTGAAGCAGCACTACGTAAGATTTTGTTTTGTTTGAGTCGCCCTGTGAAGCCTGAAGTAATAGTTTTTCACACCACGTCGTACGTCTTTACGTATTAACGTCACACGCAGACTCTGAAAGAAGGTCCGGCTCGATGTTTCGGCCTCAAATGATCTAAAATCAGCATCACACTGATGAAGATGTGATGACAGTAGTAGATAATTCACTCTCATCCTCAGAAGCTCCTTCACTGAGTTTAGACTGAGTTCTCTTTGAGTTCTCTGTCAATCATCAGATTCATCCACTCGGGGAAGGAGGACGAAGCACAACCCAAATCTCCAAATCCTACATAGTGCAGCTTTAAAGGGAGCCTATTATGGTTTTTTCCGTTTTTTCTCTTTCCTTTAGTGTGTTTAATCTTTTTGTGCATGTAAACGTTCTACAGAGTCCCAAAGCTCAGCGTTCCCTCCAGAGGGAGAGACTCTCTCCCACAGAACCCACTGTTCTCCGCTGCCTGAAACGCCTCGTTGGAATTCCAGCCCTTTTCCTTTGTTACAGGATGACATCATCTCATAACACAGTCTTTACTGCCCGCCTCCCCTGAGCTCAGCCCCCTCACACAGAGGGATACAGGGTTAAACCTTCCCGCTCTGAAACATCCTGCTTCAGTCCAGCTTTCGAAGGTGGATCGGTTCTACCAACTTGTTCTACAGTCAGGAGAACCACTGCCGCTGTAAGAACAGCCACAGCGGTGTGGGGGCGGAACTTGTAGTAGGATGCCGCTCTGGCTGTTGACCAGTCACAATAGAGTTTGTGAGCTGACCATTCAGAGCATGCTGGGCTCATCGGGAGGCGGGGCTTAAAGACAGGAGCTCTAACAGAGCGTTTCAAACAGAGGGTGAACAGAGATGAACAGTCTGAGGAAAATAATGTGTTTTTGGAACATTGAAGCTGTAAATCTGTTCTAGACCCCAAAAATACAATTATGAACACTGAAAAAGAGAATATCAGCCCCGCTTTAAGAATGAAATTTGATTTGTTCTCTGTGAGCATTTTATATTTTCTGATTTCTTAGTGAGACAAATAGAATCACATAAGTGTCGATTTTGCTTTTTTTTTATCAAAGTACTCATAATATTTCAGGTTTTTGAGAAAAAGTGGTGTGTTTGGTTCAGTGGTGAATCTTCCTCTTTCTGTGCTCCAACATGCAGAACCTTTTAACTGATAATGCTTTAATAAAAGGAGTTTTAAAGTCAAAGTCTTTCTCTTTCTCTCTCTCTCTCTCTCTCACTCTCTCTCTTTCAGACCTCCCTGTGTTCCCTCACTTCACCACCTGTCGTTCCAGGGAGCAGGAGACGTTCCGCTGTTGGTGGAGCGCCGGGACCTTCTCTAATCTCAGCGAGCCCGGAGCTCTCGCCGTCTTCTTCCAGATGAAAACGTAAGCCCTTCATCATTAAAGCGGTAGTTCAAACAGTCTGACCTGGCGTTAAATGCGTTTATACAGGCGCGTAGTTCAGGATGGAGGAGTGTTTGAGCTGCTGTGTGTGTTTTTTAGCCGAATTGTTAAGTTGTGTTTATTGCAATAATGGAAAAATATGATTTATCACGCAGCCCTAATTTCAAAAGCACAGGGAGGCATGGCCCTCTCTCCCCACCCCCCTCCAAATTTGCACCATTGGCTTTTGCACATGCAGAGTGCAGAATGCATTATAAAATCTGAGTGATTCCTCTGTAATAACTGCTTAATTAAATCCTCTCTGTGATGTTTGGCGATGTTCTGTCCAGCACGCCGCTCTCTGACTGGCAGGAGTGTCCTGAGTACACAGCCACGGTGGAGAACGAGTGCTACTTCAACAAGACCTTCACGCAGATCTGGACGTCCTACTGCGTGCAGCTGCGCGCGACTACGCAGAACATCACCTACGACGAGTACTGCTTCACCGTGGAGAACATCGGTGAGGCCAGCATAGCTTTACTGACCACACATCCCACCTGTACCAGAGAATGTGTAGTGAGGAGAACTGCCTCACTTGTCTGACACTAGGGGGCGCTCCCGAGCAAGTCCAAAATGAATGGGTTCCTTTTGGAGGTTTTGGGCAAAATCACAGTTTGTAAATTCACTTAATTATCCAGTTATAGGACTTTATAACAGTGTATTATGTGCATTCATGACATTCTAACCAATCAGCGCTCAGTAGCAGTAATGCTAACCAATCAGCGCTCAATAGCAGTAATGCTAACCAATCAGCACTCAATAGCAGTAATGCTAACCAATCAGCGCTCAGTAGCAGTAACGCTAACCAATCAGCGCTCAGTAGCAGTAATGCTAACCAATCAGCTCTCAGTAGCAGTAATGCTAACCAATCAGCACTCAGTAGCAGTAATGCTAACCAATCAGCTCTCAGTAGCAGTAATGCTAACCAATCAGCTCTCAGTAGCAAAATGCAAATATTAGCAATAACACTCATTCAGCCCGTTTAATTAAGGACTCTCTCTGGCGCCCTCTAGTGTTTTGCACTCATTTTTTGGTATAATGGGAGAATGGACTCCCCTTAAACTGGCTCTGACCCTGTGACCCCACTGTGTACCTGTGCACCTCTGTCTGCAGTGCACCCTGACCCCCCTGTAGGGCTGAACTGGACGCTGCTGAATGTGAGCCGTTCGGGGCTGAACTTTGACATCCTGGTACGTTGGGCTCCGCCTCCATCTGCAGACGTGCAAACGGGCTGGATGAGCCTGAAATATGAGGTCCAGTACAGGCAAAGGAATGCCTTCCACTGGGACAAGGTACCGCCCACTTAGCAACCACACGGCAACCATGCATCATATTAGGGGGCAAGACATTGGGTTGTTTACAGTCACGTGATTCTGATGACGTGCGAAATCCAGATTTTGGGCAGGAAGTGAAAAGCTGGAGGGACGGGATGGAGGCGAAGACGCACTGCGCTAGTTTAGACCACGTTACGATAGACACTCCAGGACCCCCTGTATTTCACACCATGGTCTAGATCAGAACCTTATACAACTCATGGCCCATAAATCCGACCATAAAAGCTTCTATGGCCCACAGGAAGATTTAAGAACCCAACTGTTTAAAATGCAGACAAATAAAGCACAAAAATGAAGCCCATCAAATTTTGCTTATCTGTACAATCACTCAGCAAAGTAAACACAAATAAATATCTGTAGATTTTCTTTTTGTAGCTGACACAATTAAAAACAGACACATTGTACACTGACTAGCACTGAAAATATCATCAAAACAAGCTGGTCAGTTACGTCGGTCGTGCATTTTACCAGACCAACCAATCAGCTCGACCAGAATATGATGCTTTATTTTTTCAAGTATCTATACAACAAAAATATTTGGCATCTTCTAAATAGTTTGGTTAAATCTAAGACTGCCGACGGCCCCGTAGCAGTGCCATCACGGCCCACAGGCTGAAATCAGTAACGCATAATCAGGACTCAAATGTAACTCATTGATTTGGTTCTGATCACCACCTCCGATCAGACTGACTTCTCTCATATCTTGATGTGGAAGCTGTAGTCGACACTGACTGCTCACACGTTATACTGACGGCACGTCAGGAGCACCGAACTCCGAACTCTATTAGACTCAGAAACCCGCCGAGCGACTGAGCCGTTTGTTCGCGCTAAATTGGTCAACAATTATATTTTCTCAGTTATCAAATACGAACAGGGGGCTCCGAAAGTCTGAGACCACTAGCTTTATTTAGAAAGGAGAATGTTTTCTTTTGTAATCTAATACAAAGTTTTTTTACTTATTAAATTGTCAGCATAAAAACGTAAGTAAAATGAAGTATTTTTTCAAATTTGACATGAATTTTAATTTAGTATGTTTTGCTTTAATGACAGTGTGCACTCGAGCTGGCGCTGAGTTGACTAAACACGAGCTTCGATGGAAGTGATGAGACAAAAAAAATTAATTTTATTTTAGTACAAAGTTTGTACTTTACTTTTTTAATAGTGAATAGAAATTTTTTCATGTTTCTTAACTTTTCTTTGATTCAAATTGTTTCAAAATTCTATAACTTTTTACTTCCCGATTTAAATGAAAAAATTCCCAGATTTTAAAGGTGGCCTCAGGCGTTTGGACCCCACTGAACATGTAGAGCCTGTTTGTTTTTGAGTAATAAACCTTCTGAGATGTTCTCCTCTGTTCTTACTCTGAATGTTCCTTTGTGCTGCTGAACGTCCTACTCTGTCAGTACGGTGCTAAGGATGCAGCCAGGTAGCCTGAACTGAAAGTCTGACTCACATAGCAACGGTCACTAAGGGAGGCGGCAGCTGGCTCGGGTCTACTTTAAACTTTTGTGTTGCTTGGCAACCGTAGCCAACATCTCCAGCACCCAGTATCTGCTGTCTGTGTAGCTGGGCCGAATACGCACTCTGCAGACTGACCTGAAAGGTCAGCAGGGGTCAGCCTCTCACCTGAGCCGAGAACTGAGCCCACCTGAAGGTTCCTCTGCTGAAATCTGCATCCGATCAGCAGATCAGCTGAACCAGTGCACCCTCAGGAACATCACCCAGACGTTCTGCTCCAAACATTAGCTGACAGTTAAAAGGCACCTTAGAGAAGCAGGAGATCACAGATCCTGTGTAAAAGCTGCTGAGTGTGTTTGATGTACGTTGATCATCTCAGTGAAATGTTCTGATCCTCAGACGTTTTTGTTCTGCAGCTGGAACTGGAGAGCGGGACGCAGCAGTCCATCTACGGCCTGCAGACCGATAAAGAGTACGAGGTTCGGGTTCACTGCAAAATGTCCTCCTTCGAGAACTTCGGCGAGTTCAGCGACAGTATATTTGTGCACGTGGCTCCGATACCCAGCAAAGGTCAGTCTGCAGCCCCTCACATCATTCACAGGCCAACACGGCACTTCACACACCCGAGCACGCCGGGACCGATACACCGTATGGTCTCGGCACTGATGCTGGCACTGAGGGTGTTTTCACACTTGTTCTGAATGAAGTCCACCTAAATGATGGATCCACTGCGCTGTTCCATACGTCACCACGTCACTTCTCTATAGAACAAAGTCTGGATTCATTAAACTCCATCAGCAGCTCCTGATTTAACATAATTAACACACATTAACACACATGAAATCACTTCTTATGGCATCAAAGTTGTTTGTATTTATTCAACAAAACTTGTCGTTTGACCAGAGGTGCCCAAACTTTTGCACACAGCTGTAACACTGCAGTAGTGCACTGTGATTATTTTACACCTTCATCTGAAAGGAGGGTAGTTTATGTGTGTGACGTGCAGCGTTTGCTGTGGTCAGTGCGGCTCTTTTGTAGAAGATGGTCAGTGACGTTTCTCTCCTGTCCAGAGTCGATGTTCCCGATGAAGGTGCTGCTGGTTTTCGGGGTGCTGGGTCTGGTGATCCTCCTCATGCTCGTCATCTTCACCCAGCAGCAGAGGTGAGGACCTCACCAGCGTCACTCCACCAAACATCTCACAGTTTCATCATCTTACTAGATCTAGAACTCACACACTATTAGAAAAGACGGTGCTGCAAGTGTTCTTTAGAAAAGACACTGGTTCTGTCTGGAACCATGAACACTCAAAGAACCATGTGCATGATTAAATGGTTCTCTGAATGGTGAAATGGTTCTAGAGATTGATGGAGAATGTAACCACAAAATAATAATAATAATAAAATATGTGTTCTATATAGAACCATACACAACACATTCTCCATCAGTCTGAAGAACCATTTCACCATGCAGAGAACCAGTTAAGCATGCAAATGGTTCTTTGAATGTTCATGGTTCTACACAGAACCACTGTTAGAGTTCATTTGGGAAATTTTGACAAATGTTTCCAATAAAATAATAAAATCTAAAAAAAAGTATAATATCGAGTATCAAAATATGCTGAAAACACATGTAATGTAAGATAAATCAAACGTAATTTTTCAAAAAGGTTTCTATTTCCTTTCAGTCCAAATCAGCGGACCAATAGAAAGTGAAGATCTAAGACCCGCCCCTATTAAAAAGTGCCGAAATTTGTAGCAACACAAACATTTCAGAAGCAAAAATATCTCAGAAATTCAGAAAAAACAATACATTTATATTAGACTGAGAGAAAGTAAAATAGGAATCTTTAAAAAAACATTACGTTTGATTTAACTTTCACTTTTGTGTATTTGCAACATATTTTGGACATTTTTATACTCAGTATTTTGCTTGTGGATTTTAATATTTTATTTTCATTTAATATCTTTTTAAGAGTGCAGATATCATTTTATAATAAGCTGGACGGTGACATTTTTCATAGATATCATTTCGTTTATTGTATAGTTAATATACTGAACATAATGTTCTAAAATGAATATGTTTTCAGGTTGATGGTGATTTTACTGCCTCCTGTTCCAGCTCCTAAAATTAAAGGGATTGATCCAGAGCTCTTAAAGGTAAACACTGCACAGCTGAACTGACTGAATTAGGAACTTCCTGAGTGGGGAGAATGAAAACAGGCTAAACTATGGTGAGCGTGTCCTGCTGCTGTGAGTCGCCCTGTAAAGCCTGAAATAATCATTTAAAAGTCAGAGGCGTTGAGTTTTTCACACCACGTCGTACGTCTTTACGTATTAACGTCACACACAGACTCTAAAAGAAGGTCCGGCTCGATGTTTCGGCCTCAAATGATCTCAAATCAACATCACACTGATGAAGATGTGATGACAGTAGTAGATAATTCACTCACATCCTCAGAAGCTCCTTCACTAAGTTTAGACTCAGTTCTCTCTGATTCTCTTTCAGCCTCGCAAAATTTATATGCTTGTGGGGGTCAAAAGCACAACTGACGATACAGAATGTTCTTCTCGTTGTATGCAATTACACATTCCAACCAGAGAGGGCTCCAAATCCCCACATCCTACATAGTGTTGCTTTAAACCACAACTCTATAGTTATCACTGATTTGCTATTCATTATATTTACACTATATAAATCAAGTTATAATGAACATAAAATAAAACAAAAATATCACTTACAGTGCAAACTGATGCACAAAAGTGTAGTAAAAATAATCAAAGTGCAATTCTAATATTATACGTATATACTACTCTTAGCTAGCCTACAGCAGTTTAGCTCCACCATTCAGCTACAGCAGTTTAGCCCCACCATTCAGCTACAGCAGTTTAGCCCCACCATTCAGCTACAGCAGTTTAGCTCCACCATTCAGTCTACAGCAGTTTAGCTCCACCATTCAGCTACAGCAGTTTAGCTCCACCATTCAGCTACAGCAGTTTAGCCCCACCATTCAGCTACAGCAGTTTAGCTCCACCATTCAGCTACAGCAGTTTAGCTCCACCATTCAGTCTACAGCAGTTTAGCTCCACCATTCAGCTACAGCAGTTTAGCTCCACCATTCAGCTACAGCAGTTTAGCTCCACCATTCAGCTACAGCAGTTTAGCCCCACCATTCAGTCTACAGCAGTTTAGCCCCACCATTCAGTCTACAGCAGTTTAGCCCCACCATTCAGTCTACAGCAGTTTAGCTCCACCATTCAGCTACAGCAGTTTAGCCCCACCATTCAGTCTACAGCAGTTTAGCTCCACCATTCAGCTACAGCAGTTTAGCCCCACCATTCAGTCTACAGCAGTTTAGCTCCACCATTCAGCTACAGCAGTTTAGCGCCACCATTCAGCTACAGCAGTTTAGCCCCACCATTCAGTCTACAGCAGTTTAGCTCCACCATTCAGCTACAGCAGTTTAGCTCCACCATTCAGTCTACAGCAGTTTAGCTCCACCATTCAGCTACAGCAGTTTAGCGCCACCATTCAGCTACAGCAGTTTAGCTCCACCATTCAGCTACAGCAGTTTAGCTCCACCATTCAGCTACAGCAGTTTAGCTCCACCATTCAGTCTACAGCAGTTTAGCTCCACCATTCAGCTACAGCAGTTTAGCGCCACCATTCAGCTACAGCAGTTTAGCTCCACCATTCAGCTACAGCAGTTTAGCTCCACCATTCAGCTACAGCAGTTTAGCTCCACCATTCAGCTACAGCAGTTTAGCCCCACCATTCAGTCTACAGCAGTTTAGCTCCACCATTCAGCTACAGCAGTTTAGCTCCACCATTCAGCTACAGCAGTTTAGCCCCACCATTCAGTCTACAGCAGTTTAGCTCCACCATTCAGCTACAGCAGTTTAGCCCCACCATTCAGTCTACAGCAGTTTAGCTCCACCATTCAGCTACAGCAGTTTAGCTCCACCATTCAGCTACAGCAGTTTAGCTCCACCATTCAGTCTACAGCAGTTTAGCTCCACCATTCAGCTACAGCAGTTTAGCCCCACCATTCAGTCTACAGCAGTTTAGCTCCACCATTCAGCTACAGCAGTTTAGCTCCACCATTCAGCTACAGCAGTTTAGCGCCACCATTCAGCTACAGCAGTTTAGCTCCACCATTCAGCTACAGCAGTTTAGCTCCACCATTCAGCTACAGCAGTTTAGCCCCACCATTCAGTCTACAGCAGTTTAGCTCCACCATTCAGCTACAGCAGTTTAGCTCCACCATTCAGCTACAGCAGTTTAGCCCCACCATTCAGTCTACAGCAGTTTAGCTCCACCATTCAGTCTACAGCAGTTTAGCTCCACCATTCAGCCTACAGCAGTTTAGCTCCACCATTCAGCTACAGCAGTTTAGCCCCAGTATACTGTACACTGCTCCATATACACTGTATTATATAAAGCATTATATGAGCCTAATATTAACAGTTATCTTTATCATTATCTTAAATCAGGCAGTGATTTAAGCTGAGATTAAAACCCTAATCGTTTCTCTGAACACAAGCGTCCACATAACGAGTGTTGCGCTGGGTCACAGCTGTTGACCCTCTGTAGGTGTAGCTCCTGTAATTAAATGTAATCGTCTGTTCGCTCTCTATTCAAATCAGCCTCAGACTCTCCACACGCAGATAAACAGTAAACAGAGCGGAGCGGCAGGCGGAGCGGCAGGCAGAGCGGCAGGCGGACCGGCGCTTTCTGATTAGTGCTTTGTGCTTTAATACGCACAGAGTTAGAATATTGTGTGCCAGACGGAGAGAAACGCTGTACAGCGCTGTGATGATGCGCCTTTCAGACGATCACGCGTACTGTGTTTAATTCAGCTCAGCATTACTGTCTTTAGAACAGAGCAAGACTGAAGCTCTCTCTCTGTTTCTCTGTTTCTCTCTGTTATTATCAAACGTGAAGAGTTTGGCGAATAAAAAATACAAAAATTTCACTGACAAATTTAGAAAATGAGGCGCCAGATTTACCATCACTTTGAGAACGTAGTGTAAATGGTGATAACATGTCATTGTTGATTCATAAACAAGGATTACGAGACATTATCTCATTTATATTTGGTGGTTTTAATTCATAACACAACACAAAAATAACGCATGAACTGCTCTGACGGGAATTTTCCTGCTAAGAAGCCGACGTGAATTAAGTGATACTTCAAGAATTCAATTTACATGTGAAAATTACATTTTACTACTAAATATTAATTTATTACAACTAAAATCTGAATTTGTGCTAGTCGATATTCAATATTTAATTTTATACACATGTAAATCAAATTTCTAACATTAAAAATTTAACATTTACTTGTTGACATTTAAGTTGAAAATTAAATTCTGAGATTGGGCAGAAATAGGATGTAAAAGCTAAAGCGGTTTGCTACAGTAATTAGAATTTCACTGTGCTGATTTATTTCGTAAATATACAAGTAAAACAACAGTGGCTATTATTCTAGTGGACTAGTGCACTGATTAATAAGGTTAAATCAGCTACAGTGTTGGTGTGGGATGCAATTGCATCAGCTGTAAGAGGTGACTCCACCAATTTTTCAAAAATTCTACATTATTAACTGGTTAAGATGTGAACAGACTGGTTCAGAGTGGTTCAGAGAGGTTCAGAGCGGTTCAGAGAGGTTCAGAGTTATTTGGTGTGAAACGCTCCATTCTAGAGAAACTTACTGAGTCAGAACTGTTCACAGTGGTGGTGATAGGAACCAGACGTCCACCTCTAAAAGCTCCCTCACAGAAAGTTCCTACATGAAATGGTTATGAATTCACTGCCTGATGACTGAGACACTGTTTTATGAGTTTTGAGAACCTAAACTCCATTCATGGTGGAGGGATACATGCAGGGCGCTGTGAGGCAAAATAGTCCCCAAAGAAAACTGATTATTTCAGATTTTCCACTATTTTCCATCATCAACATTCCATATAAACTCAGAAGACTCGTGTAGGTTCACTGGTGGTTCTGGATAGTAAATAAAATGTCTATATTTGTGTTGTAGTCATGGCGACCCCTGGTTCCTATCATCACCACTGTAAAGACATCTGACCCATTTCACACCAACCAATCCGAATCACTCAATTTAATTTAGGACTGAATTATTCAGAAATTTTGAAAAATTGGTGGAGTTCCCCTTTAAGGATTTAATATTAGTTGATTAGAAGAACGCCCCTAATACTCACTCTGTACGTGACAGTGACTGTATCTGGTCTTTTATTGACTGTATATATTCATGTTTGTCTGCATTAGAGAGCAACGTCAGCTACATCATGATATCTGTTAAAAACTAATAAAAAATCAATCACAAAAAACAATTTAAATGCAGCAAAGATCTACGTGTGCTTGTTTAGGAGTGGAATTTGCATTTTTATGTTTTATTCATATATTTTGAAAGCCTGCAGTAGCTGCACTGTTCATATTAATCATGTATGTTCATTACAGCGAGCCAAATCGACAGCCGTCAGCCTTTGTTTTACACTTAAAAAACATAGGAAATTTAATTTTAGCACAAAAACGTCCTGAATCTTGTTTTTTTTAATGAACCACTATCTCCCACTCGCTGTGCGTTCAACTGTTGTGACCATGGGAGTGACAGATATTGACAGTCTGATTGGTCGCCACTTATCTTTTTTGCATAAAGCTCATCCAGGAGGAGCGAGCAGAGTGTTCATCAGCAGTGTGATGCGCTCAGTAGTGTGTGTATAAAATGTTTCTGTGTTTCCTCAGGCTTTTTCTTCCTATTCCAGATAGACATGCAAAGAAAAGTATGGAGGATCCAGATTTGCCAAAATGAAAAATAAATAAAATTAAAAATAAATGACTTAGTAAAATAATATTTGAAGTAGAATTGCAAAAATAATGATGATAAATCTAACAAATAAATAAATATACATAACAATTAATATATTAATAATTAAAATCTTATATAAATTAATATGTCTGAATTTATTTATGTCTATTTAGTAATTTCCCCTTCTCACTAATTTTTTTATTTATTTATTTTTTGTTATTTATGTTTCTTTATTAACATTTTTTCATCTGTTTTTCTATTAATTTATTTTATTAATTTATTTCCATAACTATTAATTTCTATATTTATTTCTCTATTTATTTCTGTATTTCCTTGTCCTTATGCTAATAAAGGGGCTGTCAGTCAATGATGTCACAGCGTCTTAATATTCCTATTGGTTGATCGATGACAGATTCTGTAGATCGATTGTATTTGTCTTGCTCTCTCAGCGGTAACTGAGGACCAGACAGTACAGTAACAGCTTCTTACAGCAGCAGACAGTCAGAGATCTGAGAGTCTCGGCTGATCTGGCTGAATGCAGGTCTGCGTTGTTTACTGGTTCATATGGAGGCTGTGGGGACAGTTTGGTCCATTTAGCTGCCTCTGCTGATTCAGAGGTCGAGCCGTAGTGTTCAGAGCTTTGGAGGAGGATAATAATCGTCTTTTTCTGTAGAATTCAGATCAAACTCAGACATTCGGACGCCCGTCTCACACACTGCCTGTGGAGCCATCGAGAGTTATTCATCGGCAGGTCTGTCTGTCGGTGACACTGCAGCTCTTTATGGAGTGAAAGAGCAGTTTAATCAGCTCTTCTCCTCCTGGGCTTGATTGCTAAGCCTGAACGTGAAAAACACGCCCCCTCATTATCATATGAACAAAGAAACACAGAAATAAATACATGAATTAATGAAAAAATAAATAAATAAATGAATTGATGAAAAAAAAAATGAATACATGAATCAAAGAATAAAGCGAACAATTGTTAAAAATATAGATATGGAAAATATATAAATAGCAAATGGCATTAATAAAACAATAAATAATACAGAAATTAATAAATTGAGAAATATATAACAGCAGAAAAAGGAAATATATGTATAATTACAATCACAATAAGCAATATATACTTTATTTAGATTTTTAATTTATTGATTAATTTACTGAGTCGTTTATTTTTTAATTTTATTTATTTTTCATTTTGGCAAATCTGGTCCTCCATAGAAAAGGAGGTTAAGTGTATAAAGCAGTGGGGATCCGTCAGCTAACATACTACTGAGACTATCCGAAATACTGCCAAAAATTCCTCTCCTGTGTTCATTCACCTCATCATTTAGCCCTTAGTAGCCAGTAGCTGACCATCGAAATAACGGTGCGTTCTTTTTTCACAGAAAGGGAAGATGGACCAGCTGAACTCTCTGCTGAGCAGCCAGCACATGTACAACCAGGACACCTACCGCGAGGACCCCTGGGTGGAGTTCATCCAGCTGGACCTGGACGATGCCGGCGGGAAGAGCGACAGTTCGGACACTCAGCGCCTGCTGGGTCTGACCCGGCCTGGCCTGAAGGGCGACGACGACTCAGGCCGCGCCAGCTGCTACGACCCAGACCTCCTGCCAGACCCCGAGGGCCTTCTGGCGGCCCACTGTGAGATGGAAGAACGGCACCCACTGGTCAGTGAGAGTGGCCCGTCCACCCCCAGCCCAGAGGCGGCAGACGCTCCCTTCTTTCCAGTCCAGACGCAGCCTGTAGGCCAAAGCTGGATCAACATGGACTTCTACGCCCAGGTGAGTGATGTCACGCCGGCAGGGGGCGTGGTCCTGTCTCCTGGGCAGCAGAGCGACACGCCTGGCAAGAACCCTGCTGAGAAGAAGAAGAAGGGAGAGGATGCTGGTGACGAGGAGGTGGAGAAGGAGAAGAAGATGCAGCTGCAGCTCCTGGTGGTGGGTTCGGACGGAGGATATTCTCCAGAGGTCGTCGCCAGGCAGGTTGAGTCTAGCGCCCCCTACAGTCCTGCTCCAGAAAACGCCTACCATGCCCTTCCTCCCGAGCCTGGCGAGGAACCTCAGACCTGGAGTGGTGGGTACTTGGCGGCTGATGGAGAAGCCCAGACGCCGTACTTCCTACCTGAAGCTCCGCCAGCCTCCATACTGCCCCCTGTCTCAGACTATACGGTAGTGCAGGAGGTGGACGGACAGCACAGCCTTCTGCTAAACCCCTCGGCTCCACAATCACCAGCATGCCCACCGAACCCCACCAAACACCTGCCCAGCATGCCAGCCGTGCCCATGGGGTACCTCACCCCGGAGCTGTTGGAGAACCTCAGCCCGTGAACCTCAGGGCGTTCGCACAGAAGCTAAAGGGCGATTGCCTAAATGGTTTTTCGCCATTGACACACGGCCTTTTCATCCGCCATCTGCTGGAACCCAAAGTAGCGCGATGGAGAGACGCAGAACAGTCGGATTATTCCACCCAGGAATGTGTGTTTGTGTTGGCTTGTTCTGATGTGCTAGTCTAATGGGAAACGCTGTAAATGTGTCTATTTCTGGCTGGTATTCATGCTGTTTGCCGGCACACGTAAGCGGAAATATCCCTCAGAAACACTTTGTGCCTGCGCTTATGCTACGGAAAACACTAGCTAGCCTAATGAACCATGTATTCATCTTGTGTTTTAGTGAGTTTGGGTTTGGTTAGATGTCACAGCGCAGTATGGGATGTTTTTTCAAGCAGGGAATAAGTCTAAGAATGGCCTTTCACCTGTCTAGGTTTGGGCTTAATCTGAGAAAGGTACAGTTTAAGCCACGCACGGGTTCCAAACGACCCACTTTTGCATTAGAATTTAGGGCCTCAGCGGTCCCGATAAGCTGGAGTGAAATATTAGAGATGGCACGATACCGATACTGATACTGAAACCGACACTGATACCAATACTGAGACAATACTATTTTCTTTAAAAATTAATAAGCTTTATTTACGTCTGTAATGTGAAGTTTTTGCACATAGCTGAAATAGTAAAGACTCTCAGGCTTTACTTCATACTTAGCATTATGTTCGTTTACGTTACTTCTACTAATCCTACTTTACGGTACGTGACTTCTACTAATGCTACTGAGCATTATGTTTGTTTATGTTATTTTCACTGATCCCACTTTCATCCAATATTTTATCCACTTTTCATACCAATCCTGCTTTACTTCACTTTGCTAATTTCTACATTACTTTTACTAATCTTACTTTACGTCAAGTTACTTATACTAATCCTACTTCACGTTAATTTCCGTTACCTTTACTAATCCTACTTTACTTTGCTTAAGTTGCGTTATTCCTCAAATCCTACTTTGCTTTGTGTTATTTCTACTAATCCTCATTAACTTCTTTTTACGTAACATTATTTCTTCCAATCCTACTTTGCTTCACTTTACGGTACATTATTTCTTCCCTCTTTACTTCACGCTCCTTTACGTTGTTATTTCTACCAATCACACTTCAGCTGACGCTACGTTATTAATTCTACTCCCCTCTTTATATTGCTTTACGTAATGTTATTTATAGTGTTCTTGCTTTGCGTTATTTCTGCTAATTACCATATTACCACTTTGCTTTACTTTACTTTTTTTCTACTAATCTTATTTCACTTAAGTTTACGGTACGTTATTTCTACTAATCAGATTTGAGTTCAAGTTACATTATTTATACTAATCCTACTTCACTGTGAGGTACGTCCTACTTGGCTTCACTTTACGGTACGTCATTTGTACTAATCATACTTCAGTTTACATTATATTATTTTTAGTAATCCTACTTTTCTTTCAGTTACACTATTTCGCCTAATCCTACTTCAGTTTACGCTACGTTATTTCTACTAATATTTCAGTTTCAGTTTTTGCTTTGAGTTACACTATTTCAGCAAATCCTGCTTTACTTCGCTTTATGTTGCCGTTTCTGTTAATCCTACTACATTATTACGTTGCTAATTGTACTAATCCTGCTATGTTTACGTTATTTGTAGTATTCCTGCTTTAATGTACTTTACATCATATTATCTCTGCTAACTAACTGTACTTCACTTCACGTTACAGTATTACTTCTAATCCCACTTTGCTTTTACTTTATTTCTGCTAATCCCACTTTACTTCGGTTTACGTTATTATTTCAGAATTTCGGAATTTGTTTTTTTTCCCTCCGGTATCCAGTATGTGGTATCGAATCGTTGCCATCTCTGTGAAATATGAATCTCTACACTTTCACTGTGAAGGAAAACACTATTGCTTCGAATCAGAGTTGCTGGGAACATCCAGTTCCAGCCAAACGGACAGGATTCGGCCCATCCGGAGATCCAGATGAGTCATCTCCGTAACACGGCGATATTTCTCTCTGACTCCGGCCTCGATCCTGTCAGAGAGTCCGATTTATTGGAGCGATTCTTTTTTACAGCATAGCAGCCACGCGGCACATTTTCAATTTCCCTGCATCAGCCAGATTGTGTGTGTGGGTTGTTGGGGATGGGGGGGCAGCGGGTCGATGCTGGAGCTGTTTGCTAATTGAAAAGGACAGAAACTGATTTTATACAGAAGCCAAAAAACCATTGCGGCTCAGGGGCGGTCAGGAACGTTTGCTTAACCGAGTGATGTTTGGGGAAATTTATATATATACATATGTGCATGTTCATGCATTTATAGCCATGGGTTCTAGATATCTAAGCCTTTATACTAAAGCCTCTTGTCTTAATGAACTGTGCTTAAGCCTTGCCTTGTTTGAGTCACTACACACAGAAGAAAACGTGGACTGAAAGGATTTTGTCTTACAGCTCTCACAACCTTTCTACACATGTAGCAGTTTTATAACGATGAAGTAACGGTCATCGTTGCGGTGATGACGGTTCAGAGCTGGACGCTCGCTCCCGATCATATGCACAGTGTTTAATGTTGTTAATGTTGTTGAATGTTGTTTAATGTTGTTGGCACAGCCATGTTCACCAATCAGCTGCTTTTTTACAGGGAAAATCAAACAAATCATGCATTATTTTTTTAATCAGAGCAGGAATAATAACTGGAAACCAGGAGTGCTTTAATCTTCTCCGTTTAAAACACACTTCAAAAAGTACAGGTGCCTTTCAAATGGTTCACTATAGAGATGTCTTTACAGCGGTGGTGATGGGAGCCAGGGGTCGCCATGACTACAACACAAATATAGTCATTTTATTTACTATCCAGAACCACCAGTGAACCTACACGAGTCTCCTGAGTTTATATGTATATATTTATAGATATTTTTACTTGTTTTAAGTAATTTTATCAAGTAAATTTTCTCACTAAAACAAGCAAAATTAGTCTCCAGTGTAGTTAAATCGAGTTAAAAATGTCTCAAAATAAGTTAAATGATCTCATAATAAGCTAAACAATCTCATCATTAGAGATTTTACACATATTGACTAGATTTGTGATACTTTTGCTTAGATATCTGCATGTTTTAAAACCAAAATCTTTTCAAATCTGTCATAAAACAGTGTCTCAGTCATCAGGCAGTGAATTCATAGCCATTTCATGTAGTAACTTTCTGTGAGGGAGCTTTTAGAGGTGGATGTCTGGTTCCTATCACCACCACTGTGAACAGCTCTGACTCTAGAACGGAGCGTTTCACACCAAACCACTCTGAACCGCTCTGTTTATTTAATTATGCAGAAATCTTTAACAAAAATCATTTAAAGAACCTCCACATAGTGAAAGGTTCCACAAAGCCAAGAACCTTTGAGGTACCTTTGTATTTTAGAGTGGAGTTAATAGAACAGGTCCGTCTGTTTTAACACCCACAGTCGGCGCCGTGCGAACGTGAGACCAGAGAAACGCTCGATTTTGACGGCTGATGTAAACGTATGTACAGAGACAGTGTTTTCACTGGGAAGTGTTTGTGTGCTTTGTGACTGTTCCTCGATGTTCTGATGTTCCGAGTTTGGGCAGGAGGTCAGGAGGACGATGGGAAACGTGCTGGACCAAACGGTCACAGCTTTGGTTCTGATGCTTGAATATTGGGTCCTGTGTTGTGTTGAATGTCTGTACTAGCTGTGAGTGTTTACAGCAGCGCATAAATCAAGTGTACTTAAAATACGTCATTTTTGCTTTGCACTGAAATACGTAATGCACTAAATTTAATGAGTCAAACGTGGACATTGTCTGATAGAGACAGTCAACCTTAAAGAGCCCTACAGTTTTCTTATATTTTATTTTCATCGCTTTCAGACATTTCTGTGCTTTTAAGTATCAAAAACAGTCATATTTCATTTCTACATGACCATTTTACAACCTCTTTTTATCCCTTACAAATGAACAGGCTGTGCCTTTAAGATTGATATATGTAAATGAGCTCTGTTTTGATTGAATGCCTCATTCAAAAAGCAGTTCAGGCCTTCTATATAACTTCAGCTTGAAACGGTGGGGCCAAACCACAATCCATTCAGCCTACAGCAGTGTAGCCCCACCCATTCAGCCTATAGCAGTTTAGCCCCGCCCATTCAGTCTACAGCAGTTTAGCCCCACCCATTCAGCCTACAGCAGTGTAGCCCCACCCATTCAGCCTACAGCAGTGTAGCCCCACCCATTCAGCTACAGCAATTTAGCCCCACCCATTCAGCCTACAGCAATTTAGCCCCACCCATTCAGCCTACAGCAGTTTAGCCCCACCCATTCAGTCTACAGCAGTTTAGCCCCACCCATTCAGCCTACAGCAGTTTAGCCCCACCCATTCAGCCTACAGCAGTTTAGCCCCTCCCATTCAGCCTACAGCAGTTTAGCCCCACCCATTCAGCCTACAACAGTTTAGCCCCACCTATTTAGCCTACAGTTTTGACTGCCTTGTAAATGAGAGACACTACAGGGCATCCAGTCAGAACAGAGCTCATTTACGTATATCAGTCTGAAAGACACAGCCAGTTTAATTCTCAGGGATAAAGACAGGCTGCAAAATGATTATGTAGGACATTCAAAACCGGAGGATATGAGCCTTTAGCTAAACCGAAACTCGACTCAGGCTGAGTAAAGTGACTCATCATTTCCACGTTTCTGACAGGCATCATAACTGATCTGATCTGTTATATTCATGTTCAACTGACGTAAACATATGAGTGGAGTAAATTCAGTGCATTCACCTGTTTCAGTGCGTAAGTTCAGAGTTATTAAGGACACTATTACAGGGCAAATGAGCCGCAGAGAAAATGACATGACAGGTTATGACAAATGTACAGATTAGAGACAAAATCAATCTATATTTTATGGTGCAATTTCATTAAAAGTTAGTGCTTTTCTTTTTTGTATGGATGATCTAGTTAATTAGAGCTACTTTATTGAACAGATGTATAGTTAATTATGACTTTATCTGGTTGTAAACCACTTTGCCTTTTCACCGTAATGCTGGTTTCAGTATAGTTCACCATATTTTGGCCCATGTGACACATGGTTTATGAAAAATAAGCTATATTTGAGTTTTTAGTCGAAGCAAACTGACATAAACATTCATTTTTTTCAGTATTATTACGTCTTTCATTTGCATAATTACAATCGACACTAAAGCTAGATGGGAAAAGCTATAGTAGGTGTATATATGATAGATGATGAAGTATTAAGCACAGTATAAACAGTCCTAATCTCACGCTGAGCGCCGCGTCCTCCTCGTCTTGCCTTACGGAGGAAGCGCCGGCGCGGTTTTCTATCCTAACAGAAACGTCTTAAAGTACCAGGAGAAGCATTTTTAGCTTACACTGAATGTTCTACCGGTATTAAGCTCAGATTGTGCTGCTGCTCCTTTTCTCTCAGTCTTTTCCTCTTTTTCTCTGTCGATGTCTTCGGTTTTTAGCTGTACATGCTGCATGTGTAAAGCTACAGTTAAAAATATTTACGTTTTTAATTCTAAAAGCTAAATAGGTAATGCTGCGATTAAAATATGTACGTTTTTAATTGGTATGCTAAATAGCTACATGTTATCATCTAAAAACGTTTTCTTTTTAATTGTTTATGCTAAATAGTTCAATGTTATGGCTAATGGTTTTAGCTGGTAATGCTAAATTGCTAAACACTGCAGTTTTCAAATGCTAAATTGTAAATGCTACACTTGTAAATGTCCTTTTCTAATTGCCAATGCTAAACAGTGAAATACAAATACAGACAGTTCATTTTTATCTCACTTTTAAATGCTAAACTGATCAATGCCACGCTTAAACATGCCCATTTTTAACGCTACAGTTAAATATCTTTGAATTTTTCATTGCTAATGCTAAATAGCTAAGTGCTATAGATGAAAACATTTCAGTTTTAGCTGGTAACACTAAATACATAAACGCTGCAGTTAAAAATATTAGCATTTTTAACTGTGAATGCTAATAAGTTAGCCTGTATGTACAGGAAACCGGCTCTTTAACGTGCGTTTCGGGTGTTTACTCTGGAACATGTGATGCAAATTTATTCAGACAGTTGCCTTTTATTGTCTCTGTGGGTTCGTATAGTAAATCGGTGCCTGTAGGAGCCCATTCACACCTAAGGACTGTTGGTTTTACCAGAGGAGCTAAACGCTGAAGGTTAAATTCAGCCGTACCTCAGCAGGGTCTTATGTAATTGTCAGTATCAGACGAGCTCTTCTGTCTTGAGCTGAATGAAAGCAGCTCTGAGAGGAGTGTTCTTCTTCACTGCATGTCCCTCATGTTACTGAGTTGTTGTTACAGTTCACTGTGAAGAGAAATGACTCAGAATGTGGAGCTCAGAATAAACAGATGCTAGTCAGCCTGCTGGTGTGTCTTTGTGTGTCTCTGCTCTGCTTTCCAACTATCGCTTCATCCGGAGTGCAGGACGGGCCAGAACCGAGGCCCAGAAATAGCAGAACCGAGGCCCAGAAATAGCAGAACCGAGGCCCAGAAATAACAGAACCAGGCGCAGATCAGGTTTTGTTTTTGCAGGAGAAATGAAGTTCTCCCGTTCTGCACTCGGCTTCAAACGCAGAGAAAACGCTCTGTGCATGTTTTCGGTTTACAATCAAATCCCAAAGATATTAAAGCGCTAGTTTGGCACAATAGTTACCCACACATCTCAGCCCAACACCCCATACAACTTAATGTTGGCTTCTTTAGCTGTAGCGCTGGAGCTACAAGGCTAATGTAGCTAACAAGGCCGTTTCAGTGGAAACAGAATCAGGTAAACGGCGCATAAACATTACTCACTGTAAGTGGGTTTGAGTTTGTAATCAAATCCTAAAGATATTAAAGCGCTAGTTTGGCACAAAACTTACACACATCCTCCACCCCAACACCCCAAACCACTTAATGTTGGCTTCTTTAGCTATAGCGCTATAGCTACAAGGCTAATGTAGCCTTTTCAGCAGAAATAAAGGTAGAAACTCCATAAAAATGAGTCACTGTAATTGGGTTTGAGTTTGTAATCAAATCCTAAAGATATTAAAGTGATAGTTTGCATTTGAATAGCTTTAGGATTAACACTTAATGATGACCTCTAACTGTAACCACTTCTTTAGCTGTAGCGCTGGAGCTACAAGGCTAATGTAGCCTTTTCAGTGGAAATAGAAGTAGGAACTTCATAAACATTACTCACTGTAAGTGATTTCTTGATGAGAAATCTGTACAGCGTTGAGAGCGAACTTATAAAGTAAGTGACGTCTATTATGTATTGTTAAATATGTGTTACACGTTTATGTTTGCATACGAAACCTCGTATCTCCAAAAAGGGAACTTTACAGGACAGGGGAAAACATTCTTAACTTTTAATGAACTAAATGGAGAATTTTTTTAAGTAATTCTGGACCATGTCTGTTGGTCTGTTCTTCATGAAATTTTGACACAACATAAAGGGCAACTGCCTTTTTTCAAATGAAGTCAAAAATGAAAAACAACAAAAACAGAGTTAGAGCAGAGATAGAGTTTTTGTCCCAAAAGCAATGATATGTATATAGTCCATCTCAAATAAACTGGCATATCTGTCACATATATGTCCATTTGGGATAAATCTAAGTTGGATATATACACTAATATGTGTCACATATTTTAAATCTATTTATTGCCATATATCAGGTTATGGAAACACTCAGCAATGTGTGTCCCGGCTGAATAAAGGATATAAATGCTTTGCGGAGGAATTCCTTCACAGCTAACACCATAACGCCAGCTAACGTCTACAGAGTGATAAAACGGTGGATATGTGAAAAGAACTGTAACCAAAACGCTCCCTATGTGCTGATTAACCAGAGCAGCGTCTGAACAGCTGAGTAAACCGACCTTTCTGATCTGTTTTCTTTGATTCTGGTCTGATCTGTGATCTGGTAGTCATGTAGATCTAGTCTCCTCCACAAATGTGTTTAGAGAGACAATAAGCTGCAGATCAGCCCGACTGACCAACCCTGCCAAAATGGCGGGGAATCCAAAACACTGCGTTATGACTACAGCTGTCACCATCATGACATTTTAGCTGGTGATTATCATATAAATAATCGTGATTAACAAGTTAACTGTCTTTTTTGTTCATTCCATTCATCTATTAACCCTTTAAATGGGCAGGTCCCACTGGTGGGCCCACACTTTTATTACCCACTTCTATAATCTAAGAATAGCTCAGCCAGTTTGCATTGAAGTCCCTGTAATTACAGAATAATAAGCCTTAGTGTGTAATAAGCCTGAGATTTTAGGGCAAATTAGCTTAGTAGCTATCTTGCTTTCTGTGTTTACTGTGCAGCTAACACTGTACTGTAGAATTGGTAGACCACACTGTTGTGCGCACACACACACACTCTTACACCAGTATTTCAGTTACACCGAATCACTTTTAGAGTCAGGCAACGATTATATTTTTTCCTGAGGGTGAAAATATAAGCAAGAAGACTAATTCTGCTACCAAACATGCTAAAAACATTAGAATTAGCTACATAGCTAACAAATAGATGAATACTTCTCAGCGCTGCACTCTGAACATGTTACAGCACCAGGTTAAAAGTTAGACGTTTTTCGTTTTCATAATCCTCAGTTCACATTTTGTTTGTTGCGGCTTCATTTTATGTGAAAATGTGAAAATTATTGTGAAATCTAATGAGGAAATGAAAACTGTGACCTTCTCAAATAACTAAAATCATCACTAATAACTGCGATTAGGCGATTATGTAATAATTGTGACAGGCCTAGTTATGACATCACATTCCCAAGCCAATCAGCATCATTTGCTGACATCACACAAGCCTAAGTGTGATAAATCGTCTGTATATCAAAAAATAAAGGTGACAAAATATCAGAAATGCTGCAAAAATCAAGCTACTGTATTAAACACATGTACAGCAGTTAGCACCATGCCAAAAGGGGGACGGAACGGAGCTGGATCTCCCTGAAGTGGCTCCTTTTTTCACAGAAATAACCCAAAGGCTGTTCATTTTCAGTGATTATTAGCAACACTAGCATTAGCATTTTCCTAATGCTAACAGGAAGGCTAGCGTTGTGCATAATGAATGAAAACATGCTGCACTCCGACTAGCCTTATGAAAATGGCCGCGCTAACTTGCTGGCTGCTGCCTTCCGCTCACTGTTAGCAACATTAGCAACACTAG